GCCCCGCCCCCCGCCGCCGCCCTTCTTCGGCCCCGGCAGCCACCCGGGGCCCCCGGAGCCCCGCTTCAAGAAGAGCGCCCAGAGCATCGAGGAAGCGCTGGACAAGCTGGACGCCGAGCTGGAGGGCCACGTGCTGGCCGAGGACCGGCGCAGGGAGCTGGAGGAGGAGGGGAAGAAGCAGCAGCAGCAGCGGGAGGTGGAGGAGCAGCGGGAGGGAGAGGAGCAGGGGGGCCGGAGAAGGGCCCCGGAGGAGAACGCCATCGAGAGCCTGGAGCGGCTCCTCTCGGGGGAGATGGGCCCCCCGGAGGGGGACAGGCAGCAGCAGCAGCCGGGGCCGGCGCTGCCCATCGCTCACCCGCCGCCGGTGCCCTCCTACCCCTGGCTGAGCGGGGGCAGCGGCTCCGGGGCCAGCGCCCCCAGCGGCGGCTCGCCCGTCTCCGAGAGGCCGCGGGGCGCGGAGTTCTCCCAGGAGAGGCCGAGGTGGGGCAGCAGTGTGGACTCTGAACATACCTCAGGGATCGCCTCCCCTCCTGCCCTGCCCCCCTACTGCCCCCCGGCCGACAAGGTGCCCGGCTTACTGATGCAACAGCCCGTCCTAGCCAAAGACGCCGCGAGGGAGCGGGAGAGGAAGGCCAGGGGAGACGCCGGCTCTTTCATGGCGCCGGCGCCCGCGGCCCCGCCGGCCCCGCCCCCGCCGGAGCGGGAGAAGCTCTTCCCGGCCTTTCCCCAGGAGGCTCCGGCCCAGAGCGGCCCCGCGCCAGCTCCGAAGTACCCCGGCAGCGACTCGGACAGCCAGGGGGGGGACCCCCAGTTCGAGGAGGAGCCTCTGTCCACCATCCTGCCGGACGGCCTGGCCAACATCATGAAGATGCTGGACGAGTCCATCAAGAAGGAGGAGGAGCTGTACCAGGGCGCCGAGGCCACCAGGGGGCCCTACTCCCCCGCCGCTCCTCTGCGGGGCTGCCTGGGCGCCCCCAGCCTCCTCCCGGCCCCCAAGCCCCACGAGCGCAGCCCCCCCGCGCTGAGGGCGGG